GTATATTATTTTAATATCAACCTAATGTCCCTGCTCTCCGAACCATTCGAGGGATTACATCAGGAGGGTTACCAGCAAGAAGTCCCTTGAGATAATCTCTTGGACAAGTACAAAAAACTGAACTCCCGAGCTAGAGAAGAATCACCTGCTTGGATCCAATGTCTACAGAAGCGCAAACGTCATCCCTGTTTTAATAGAAACACAGAAGTGTTTCCATTAAAATGGAAATGGGAAAGGCCTATAGTTTTCCCTCCATCCTGACCATGAGATTACGTGTCAACCTTACGCCGAGTTCCACCAAGACAACGTCAATCTGCTCAGGTAATGGCAGTGAAACTGCATCCAGCTGCGGCTGGCAACCACAGGCCTGCTGCTGGCAACACCGGGGAAAAGCGGGGTGATCCACAGCCCAAGCTCCTAGCAACAGAAAGACGAAACTCCCTACTAACCAGAAAACACGGGACGTCTACCGCTAATGTTATTTAAAGGCCTCCCCTCCTCGCAGAATCCTGCAGTGCGCTCTACCCGTTAGACACGTGAGGCGTTCGCAGGTGACGTGGGCGGGTAAGGAGGAAAGGCCTGAAATACCTCACGAGTTGAAAGGCCGGACAGAAGCGAGCACTGCGGTTTAAAATAACGACACTAGAAACAGAAGTCTGACTTTGACAATCTAAATCAACGGATTGGGACTAACGAAAAAAAAGACTCTTTACCTGGTGTTGTCGTGATGAGGGTTAGAGGAAGTGGTAGCAGCTGACCCACCACGTAACACTGGCCTGCAGCAGGTTTTTGCAGATAGAAAGCACGAGACAAACAGGAAACGACAGAGACAAGAGGTAAAACACAGAAGAAAGGAGCATCGAAACACTTCCCCTCACACTGTATAGTGCTTCCATACCACAGAATATCCATTCACTTGGTTATAAGCTGCACTGTCACGTTGCTCTTACTCGGATTTAATCAACACTGCATGTGTGTGCAGCTAGGAGAGGTAGGCAAGTTTTTGTCTTCCATAAATTCAGCTGTATCAAACTGTTGGAATAGATTTGGTGGAGGTTATCATCCTTATGAAATAACCATGGGAAACCTCAGGTTTTAAAAAAAAAAATATTGCCCCCAAAACCTCTCCCCTCCAAAAAAAGGTAGCTGCACATCATAAAAGCCTTTGTCATCCTCCTCTCCCCCCTGTAGTGAAAGGGGAGATTTGGCTTTTCGTTACTCATGCATGGCAGATGGACTTCAGAAAACCAGGGCTAGTAGCCCAAGGACCGTACGTTGTCTGAAGAGAGGTAGATCTCTCCAGGAAGAAGTGCCTAAAAGCTTCAAGTAGAAGGCATGAACATCCCTGGAAGTGTTGCTCTTTCAATTTCTTTTCTTTCTCGGCAGAGACAAAGAAAAGGTAGAGCTTTTGAAGTTGCTGCACCTCTGCGACATGCGTTGGCTTTGCAAGAAGAAGGCACCGTGGCACAGTCTACAGCGGGCACCAACACCAGCGGCACCTCCCGGCAAAGCCGGCACCAGGTGATCGCAGTGCCTCTGGCAAGGAGGCAGTGGCGTTCCACACCTAAGACGTGTAAACACACTGTTCAGGAGCCTGAAACCTTTTTCAGATTTCTTCCGTTTCCCCAGTGCCAACAGGAGGGATTCGCACCATGCACTGAACCCCTGTATGCGCCGGGCTAGGAGAACGTAGGGGCGAAGACCTTTACAGCAGGTACGTGTGGGAGGCAGAGGACTGGTGCTGAGGCAGCTGGGAGAATGCTGTGGCCTGGCCTGGAAACGAGCAAGAACCTATGCCAAAATACCACAACCACCAGTTTCATCTGATGAGGATGGAGGAGCTTAGCAAACTCTGCGACCTGATACAATCCTTACTGGGACTAGGTCCTGCCCTAACCAGCACCCTAAGAGCACACCACAGTGTTTTTCACCTAGCATGTACGGTAAGCCGGCTTGATTTACTTTCTAAAACAGAAACCCTCGTTCCCAATACACACAATAAAAGAATGTCCTTACCTAAACGCATGAGGTCTTGCAGAAAGTTACCCAAAAAGGTATTCCTATTTTTTAACCAGTGAAATAATTCAGCTAAAGTCTTGTCTGAGAGATGCTAGGACTAAATACTTGGAAAAATGGCAAAGGTGGCAGAACCCAAGTCACCCGTAATTAACTGGCCGAGACGTGAATGCCAGCTTGTCACTCTCCAGGAGGCGTGTCCCATGCCATGACACAGGACAGCAGCATTTGGATCGGGTACAATGAGAACGGTAGGCCTAAAGTGCTCTCTAAGCTCTTGGGGTCCCTGGTGTTTCGGGGCAAAGAGAGTTGTACAGCTGTTGTGGAAGGAATCAGTGCTAATTCCCACTGCCCTTCCCAAGGATGGCTTGGAGGTGGCAGCCAAGGGCTGCAGCAAGGAACAGAACTAGAGCACTCTGGGATCTGTGCAAAGCGGGAGCTTAATCTAAAGGTAAATCTGTAATCCTGCTTCCCAACACAGCCAGGCTGCTAAGCTGCACGTGACTGGTTCGTTTTCTTTGCAGTCCACGTTTTACTTCTTTACAGGTGGATCCAAAAGGATCACCAGAACAGTCCCCTGCCCCGCCCCTTCCACACTTTCTACTTGCTTGGGTTTATATCTCACCAAAAACCTTCACTATGCAGATGGCAGTGGCCTCATAGCAGAGATCACCTTACACCAAAATGAGCAGCAAGGTTTCTGGTAAATGCAGAATGCACGAGTATAATTTAGCCAGGCTATTAAACACATGACTTTCTTGAAAAGTTTTAATGTACTCAGGTTTTTAATTTCCTGGCTGCTTCTGCCAATTCCATCCTAAACTGACCATGACCAACAGACTATCAGAAGCAGCCACAGCTCCGAGGCCACGTACACTCAATGCTTTCCCACTGCAAACACAGCAGCCTGAACTATGAAGGGAATGCGGAGTTTATCACCTCATCGGAGTGGGAAAGCAGGCAACAAGGCAACGAATGACCACACGAAACTGGTCTGTCTTCCGCTGCTTCCGCGATGGAAATACCACAGTACTGATGCAACCATAAACACGCGGTCCACAAGGAAAACAGCCAGGTGTGGACAACCTAGGTGCCTGGGTCCAGCTTCCATCGCTTGCGTGCACAGGGGACGGGGACCAGCACATGCTCTTCGTGCAGCAGAGGCAGCGGCGACATTCACCTCTCACTGTACTTTAAACACCCCGGAGTCTCAGACAGGCCATAAGAATGGACACTAGGCCTTTACGGACATGCTCTGGATGTGCACTGGGGAGGGAAGCTCGGCTTCTGAAGTACAGGAGGGATCGGTGCATGGAAGAATCAGGGATGAAACTGCTCCCCTCGCTTGTCTCAGTGCTGTAAGTGCTGACTTCAATAAAGGAACCGGCTACTGCTTTTCCCAGGCTCCTTCCCATTTGCAGACCCACTTCATTTCCTTCTGAACTATCCTGCCCCAATCCAAAGTCACGCGTACCCCTCTTCGATGGTCTTAACCCACAGCCCGTTTTACTTCTGCCATAAACACATCACTAACGTGCTTGGTGAAAGAAGTGCCGTAACCCCTCAGGATGTGATCACGTGGGTGAAGTTTGGCATTTGAGGAGGACAGTGGCTCTTTAGAACGGGCCAGCCTGAAGAGAGGAAACAGTAATAAATTTCCATACTTTTTTCTCCTAACTAAAAAGATGTTGACCCAAGAGATGAAGAGCAGTTCACTAGAGCACGGATTTCAACACAACTCAGATATGAAATTGCTTTTTCCCCTGCATTTAACACTAAAGTTTCCTTAAACGCATCAGGGGGTTATTTGAGGTTTTTTTGTTGCCCGCAGCATAAAAGATCAATCTTTAACTAGGTATAGGCCCTACAGTCATTCTACAGAAATTGAAACAGAAAAAATGGTCGTAACCAGAAACCAAAACTGACCTATTGTCCTTGTCCAAGCTGAGGGAAATGCAAGAGTAAACAGAGAGTGTAAACAGTGATCGTTAAATCGTTGCCCACTTAAATGAGCTGCTACGCGAGCAGTGCCGGCTAAACTAGGCGTAATTCGCTCTCTGCAGCAGTGCAATCAGCACCTACCGTCAGCAGTTGCAGTAGATTGGAAAATATTTTTTGGGGGGAAAAAAAAAAAAGGCAAGCCATGAAACAAGTTCAGAGTATTTCCAGTAACACACAGTCAGACCTTGTTCATTTTAAAAGATCTCTTCTAGCATTACACATAAAATGTTACAATAGGTAAGGTTTTGAGATAGAAAGCACATTACACAGCAAAAGAACAGAGTGCAGGTTTGGAGCAATTTAAAATGAACAATATTCGGCAACCATGCAAGTGGATCATCCAAAGTTCACATTCCTATGCCAGCTGTAGAGTAATGGTGGGTATCCAAATACCCAACCACCAAGAATACACTTTCACCCTCTGGAAAAGCTCCTGGGTTTGCCACCTTATTTGTTCATGGGTGACCAGAAACAGGTCTCCTGTTTCTTCTAGGAAGGTCAGTAAGAACACCTCAAAAATGAACCCAAACCAGGAAGAGTAATGTAGGTTTTGAAGTATTCCGAACCCTAGAAATTTTCTGATGACTGAAGGAAGTTGAAAGCGTGTGTATGGATAGGTGTATGTACTCCAGAATCCAGGAAAACATGAGCCAGAACTTGCCTAACGGAAGCCAGGAACAGAACCTGTTAGCCTCACTGCAGACTGGGGAAAGGGCTGGAATGTCAGTCTCTATTTTAACAAGGACTCCTGGCACAGTATCCCTAAGTGCTGTTATCCACAGACAGTAGAACAGAACAAAGCCTTAATTTTGTAAACCAAAACAAACTTGTAGTTCCATCTAGTTTTTAATACTGACATGAGAAAATCCAAACAGTATTGCTGTCCAACTGTTGACAGGCATCCAAACTTTAACAGCTACAGCCTGAAATTTCATAGGATTAAGCCAGGGTTAAGCACCCAACTCACAGAATTTCAAGGGGAACCATGCAGCTGATTTCTTTTTGGGTTTTGGGTTTTTTTTTTTTAAGTCCCAGTTTCAGCACATAAGGGCCAGCAGGACCGGAGTTCTCTACCATCCAGGAATGGCAATATGGGCACCCGTATGCCGTCAAGTCAGCAAACACGGCGAGCCACAGGAGGTGCCGGTTTGGGAAGTGCAAACACACAATAAGATTGGCTTGATAGTCATGTTTTATTACCAAACCACTAGAGAGCAAATGATTCAACTTCCCACTACAGAATTAGGAGTGCTGCTGGGAGATGAACAACCAGCAGCAGATGGCAAATTTCCAAGAACTTCCTACCAGCGGCCACACGGAAGGGCTGGAGGGGGGATGAGCACTTCTTCCCAGCGGCCTTGCCAAGTACCGCCTCTGCCGGGCCCTCCTGGCAAGCCCTGGGGGTCTCGCCTAGCCCTACACCAGAGACCGACCGGGCAATTGGTACCTGAACCTCTGTGCCAGCATACTACTGAAATGGAAATTGCTTTTGGAAAATCAGCCTTGCCAATATTAGTCTTTAGAAATGCTTCTATAGTGGCAAACATGCCATTCTCGTAGGGCTTGCAAGTGCCAAATCAAAGCAGCCCAAGGATACATCAAGTGGGCAAAAATCCACCGGAGAGCACAGCAGTACTATACGACGGCTGTCACGAGGCTTGTTTTGGCTCGCCATCTCTCCAGCTATCAGCTTATCCACCAAACCAGAGGCAGCGCTATGAGAGGAGCGACCAGCTTCTCGGCGTACACTGCCTTTCTT